AGTATCTTCTCATCCAGGGGTAGTAATCTATTTATTGTGTAAGAGCCCTGTCTCTCCCATATTTGTTTGGGGGCCGATAATGTTGATCTGCGGTCACAACATTTTTCCAGGAATATTAAAATATAGAAAGGTGAATCATCGTGTACACTTGCTTCTGAGGTCATTACTTCATGGCCGCGACAGTTATGCTGCTAAATTAAATGCCTCTTAGAAATGATACAAAAATAAGACAGAAAGGGCCATTCATCAGAATAAAGTCGGCTGAATTCCCTGAAAACACGTATTCAGAGGGAGGTCCAGTTGACAGACCCTGGGCCCGTCCCTACCCCAACCATTTACACAAAACGGCGTCCCTGCCGTCATCTCCCCCCCCCCCCCCAGAACTGAACACCCTGTATCACCTGGTTCTCCTGGTCCAGAGATCTCCTGATCTCTCTCTCTGTCTCTCTCTCTCTCTCTCTCTCTCTCTCTCTCTCCTGTTCTCCTGGTCCCAGAGATCAATCGTCACCAGCCTTTCGCGCCAGCCCGCTCAAGGTGACTCCTTAGGCGATACGTCCTGAGTGACGATGCGTACAAACAGCGATACCGCCGCAGTGCAAAACGTCCACTCCCGACTCGTGCGCGACAGTAAGAAGGCCTCGCTGACGGACGCGAGAGCGCGCAAGGGGGGGGGGGCGGAGGAGAGACGACAGCGCGAGCGCCTCAGGAAACAGTGGCATGGCTGGCGGGCGCGTACCTCTGCCACGCAGAGCTGAACACCTGGGTTGTAGATGGCACGCTACGATCTCGCATCCGTCAATGGATCTTTCAAACTCGATCTCGCATCCGCAATGGATCTTTTCAAACTCTATCTCGCATCCGTAAATATTATCTTTCAAACTCGATCTCGCATCCGTAAATAGGTCTTTCGAACTCGATCTCGCATCCGTCAATTGATCTTTCAAACTCGATCTCGCATCCGTCAATTGAACTCTCAACTCGATTCTCGCATCGGTCAATTGCATTTTTAATCCCGATCTGCATCTGTCGATTGCTTCAGTCAACCGCAGGGCAGCATGCCAATTGTTCGTCACGCGTCATTTGCCATTCGCTATTGTCTCGTCATTTAATATTCGTCGCCAATGTTTCATAAATTTTGCGTCAGTTCGAGAGCCTTTCGTGCATCGTTACTTGATGGTCCTTTTTGCGGCTGCATCCGAGTTTGCTTAGAGGTCGAGAAGTAATTAAAACTTTTCGCTCACTCACCGTCGGCTTCATTAAGGACCTTAAGCTGTTGGTCTGGAGGCTCGCAATATAGAAACTGCCGCTATTAAAGCGCATGGCTTCACGAAAAAAAACATCACACGTGGGCTGCGGTACTCATACCACAGCACCAATCGCGTTCGGGAACAATCACGTAATGCTTCAGTTAGACAGCGTAAACGAGATCACAATGGGTTCAACACATCGTCAGCCTGTTAATATGCTGTCGCTGCGGAGCAGCATTACGTGATGCTCTGCCAGCTGTTGTTCGGAGGGGCTGCTTAGCTCAGCTCAGCTCTGTACAGACTCTATGCAGAGCTGAGCCATGTCCTTTTGAATTACCGCACAGGATGGCAGATAGCTTAGCTTAGAGAGATATCTTAGAGATAGCTTAGATAGTTAATGCTTAATCGGTTCGAGAAGTATTCCACTTTTCGGAATAGTTCGTCTGATTCATGGATTTGACCCGTGCGCCCGCGGCCCGGATCCGCTACTTCCGGTTGGTGTGATCCGCGATAAATAAATGCAATGGCGTGAGGAAGAAAGCAACAATAAGCAAAATTTCAAAATCTACCTCTGCTGCCCATCAAGAAAGCTGCTGTCAAGGACTGATGGTACCATTATGGGGGACTTGCTCTACTTGAGACCAACTGAAGCCTATCGGGACTATACAACTGTGGCTTACAAGCTGGTCTTGTTTTCTGGAAAGAGAAAGTCTCAGTGCCTTGCCTTTATGCCCTCGGCGTCTTTGGGTCCAACTTGTGTACACAGGAATGATTTCACGCCTTGTAGTTCGAAATGTTCTATGACGGGCATGGCTATGGTAGACATGGGCATGGTAGATATGATATGATGGTAGACATTATGGTAGAAATTATGGTAGAGATTATGGTAGACATTAGGGTAGAAATTATGGTAGACATTTTGGTAGACATACTGGTATTAGATATCATCAGGAGGCAATGCTTTGCTACAAATGTGCTCACCCACACCTGCTAACTGTCTGACAACCAGCCTGCCTTTAACCAGTTGGCTTACCAGCTAACCTATCTCACACCTTGTTGTGACTTATATCTACCTTGGTAATCGTTTCACTTACGAATGTCACCAGGTGAGTATGTTGAGTCTTTACTCATAATTTTTTGTTGTAAGCATTACCTGTCTGAAATGGCTTCAATAGGTGAGCTGTATTCGCCACCGAAGCGTGTTATCACTGTGATGTGCACGCATTGTCCTCCTGAGCTGTGTGTGTGCGTGTGTGCGGTGTGTGTGTGTGTGTGTGCGTATGTGGCTGCACTACTACTTCCATAACCACGATCTTACGATATTAGTTAGATTATGTACAATCCAGGTGCGTACTTGGCCCAAATATACGTCATATCTCACGAGCACGGCTTCAATGCTTTGAAGTGGTTTTAACAATGTCCCTGATATTTTCTTGCGCGCCACACAGCCGTCTCATCCCAACATGTGTGCGACGCGCATCGATGCGATGCATAGATGAAGCGAAGTAGCAAGCTTCGTCACACTGTGCTGAGAAAAGACAGCCAGTCAACGTTTGGAAGAGATGCCGTTTGATTTTTCGAAGCATTGCCAGATTTGCCCTTTAGGAAGGGCGGTGGAATGTGGGACAGCATGGCTGCCTTAGCGATGCGCTTGATGATTCCACCCAATGTTTGCCCCGTGGCCCATGTGTCTGGAAAGCATGCACTCAGCCGATCCGTAGAGCTGCGTATCTTTTAAGCAGGCCTCCGCCCCTATATCCATCTCCCCCTCACACAACCCGCACAGAAGACTCAGCTAATCCCCCAAAAAGAACCGCTCAAACAAAAAGTAGCGAGCACTGCGTATGCTCAAAATTTATGCACTGCCTCCCTTCGCCCCGCCCCAAATGGATTTGACAAATATTCGCGCCTCCTGTGCCGCCCCTGCGTCCCAGACGGAGCCCCTTTCTGCTGCCCCTGCGTACGATACTCACTCCACTCTGCCGCTGCAGACGGCCTTCGACGTGCTCCAGTTCAACCAGGAGGAGAAGCATAATATTACAAGATCACCGCCGCTGTTATGCACAT